TAACATGTTTTGAAAAATTTCAATGACGGACTGATGGGAGCGGGGGGGGGGGGAGTGCGAAAATATCAAAAGTGGTTGCATAAACTACAAAATTATGCAACCAATTTATTTTTATGTGCATATAATTAGAATAATTTTGTGAGAACTGGAAAATCAAACTGAAAGTATACATGCACTAGGATCATTATTCCTCATATGGAGACTCCAGTGCCTCCACTCCGTTCCCCCCCCCCCCCCCTCCTCTCCACGAATTTTTTTTGAAGCATGACATTGGGTCATTGCGAACCTTAGAATTTTATTGAATTTTTTCTTTGAATCTTCTTTCCTTCCCAAAAATAATCATTGTCATCTGGAAATTCAATCCCAGTCCCCCCCCCCCTTCCTTAACGACAAATTTTTTTTGGAACCACGGCATCTATCATTACAGAAATTAGAATTCAAATTTTATAGATTTTCTTGAACCTTTCTCCTTTCCCACTATTTCCCAAAATCACTATTGAAAGAATTGTGGCAATCTGTACTTTTAAATATTGAATTTTGCAAATAAAAATTCAAAGAGCTTGGCCATATGAACATTTGCTTATTTGAGCTTATCAATCTAATCTCATTGCAATCAATCTTACTATACACGCAGTTATTTTTTATATTTATTTTATTTTTTACCTTGCAAATTTTTTAGATTTACGGAAACGTTTTTCCCCTTCCATATTCCATCCATATCTTCGGATGTTGAAAATCAATGTTCTCCAATATAATCAACTTTCCAAACTTATAAAAATGATTTTCTCGACTTTAAAAATCTGGAACTGCTGTGGAAGTTGTTTGCAAGAACAGATCGTGCTTAGAGCGCTGAGCGTGGGTTTTGCTCGCCTTAAATAATTAATCACTTCCCGAGACTAGTTAAGATAATCGTTGTGACGTTGCAGCTCTTTCGACGAGCTTTTGCACAACATTTGAGCTCGCCTTCTTTCAATTAGCTAATGACTTTTTGGTGCCTATGGGATTGCTCTTGCTCTATGGGAGGGTTTTTTGGGTAATTAAGAGCCCAAATGGAATTGTATCTATAGATTTTGTTGTCCGTATCTCGGCAGCACAAATTTTTCAAAAGATCGTAAATAGATCAAACAAGCATGATTATCGTCAAGTGTTCATTAGCAGAGTTTTTGCCGCATAGGGACTAATGATGTGCTACGTCACAAGTTATTGATAAAGCTGATGATACTCTTTGTACTCAACGTGCTGCGGGATTTTCTGCAAAAAAATCTAGAAATTTGAAAAATTTGAAATAAAATCAATTTTGTTATCATGCGCTTTAAGTGCTATTTACATAAACAATGATATCCGTAATTGTAAAAACTCCCGAAAAAGGCGAATAAAAAATTGTAGCAGCTTCATTCCAGACAAATTACGTCTACAATTTTATTCTTTGATTAGAAATAATATTCTTGTGAAATTCTTTTCGATAACGTTCGAGTTTCGAAGTTTACATAAGCCCTTGCAGCTAATATGCTTTAGTCAGCTAATGAATTAGAAATCAATAATCGATTTTTTAGTGGTCGCTACTCAACATGCTAATTACTCAGATCATACATCAGCAAAGTCTATAATTTATAATCTGTGGTTAAAAGGCGAAAAGGAAAGTGGTACCGATAATCTAAAGCTAACAAAAGCGCTATTTCATAATTTGGTCACTTTCGCTCCCGCCACGCCTATTTTTGGCGTACATCCAACCCCTCCTACCAAAAAATTTGTCGTGCCGTTTTATCGCTCAGCTGTGTTATGGTTATCTCAGAAGTTATATCATAGTAATGTCAATAATCCTACAAGTAAAGAGTCCACTAATAATGGATAGTGTGGCAAAATCAGCGTTTAGAAGAAAAAGACCAGTTTTCGCATCACTGGGAACCTCAAGCATTCAAAATACTTCCTTTGTAAATTGATATGGCCGCTATATTATTCGCTACCGTACATATACCGTAGCCTAATCTTGATAATAAAAGGGATGCAATCTCTCACATTTGCTATTACCGTATATATACCGTAGTCAGGGACAAAAAGAAGCAATTTTGTACATTTGCTGTCAATTACTATCTGCTACTTAGCACTATATAAGTCCCGGGGATTTAGTAAGAACGCGATCTTTCATATTTGCTGTCATTTCACGATAGAACAATTTGCTCCTATATTACCGTAATCTAGGGATATTATAAAGATGCCTTATAGATTTGATTTACTGTATTACTGGTTACCGTATACATAAAGTGATCAGGCATTTCATTGAATGTACATTCTTTCACAATTGCTTTAAGTTTACGACATAATTTGCTGCAGTATACCTACCGTAATCTGAGAAAATTATAAGGTGCACATTTCTCGCATTTTCGAATAACAAAATCTCTCTCCTCTTGCATCAACGAGTACTTCCTCATTTCCGCGCATTTGCAACTCAAGCGAAAGCTAGAAAGACAAATGTGCAAGTGCACATGACATTTGCAAAAGCCGTGTATTATAATGGAATAGGCCAGACATGGGGCCGATTTTTGATCTACTAATGGTCAGCGTTAAGCTGGCCATTCGTCCGTGTCCTAATTACTGTGTTTACACTGCCGGGCGCGACGGCCGACGGCACCTGGGTGCGCTTTTCGTGGATGAATTGACAACGAGAGGGCTCAATTTTGGGTTGAAAATGTTCCCATGATCGAGAAAATAATGGGAGAGCAGGAAAGGAAGGGGGGGGGTAATAGATAAAGACAGAGTGTTGCAACCAAATCTATTTTATTTATTTATTTTATTTAAATATGCACTATAAGTGCGCCAAAAGAGATAGGTTGACAGAACTCGATCGTATAAACATAACTATCACACTTCCACTCCTTATATTTACACTTGCAGAACGCAACCATTAGAACCGCAAATAAAGAGCGTTTGAAAGGGGGGGGGGGGGGGGGCTTGAGGCCGAGTTTACCGGCTCACAAATGCAGATGATTAGCATTGGGGAATGCCACCGCCCTAAGACTATTTAAGTTTGGGGGCGTCCAAGACTAGCCTGTGGCCGTATTCATCAACGAACCCAGTGGGTTCCGGAACCCGCTGGGTAGGCTTAACCCTCGCGATCGGTATTCACGAAGCTAGTGGGTTCGCGAACCCAGCAATGCTTTTAGTGATTATCGATCCAACCCAGCAGCACTGTTTTCGCTTACCCGCTGGGTAGCGAAACCCGTTGGATTCGTTGATGAATACGGTCCCTGGTCCACGTTAGGTATCCACCAACCTAAAAGTCTAGTTCCAAATACATCTGCAGTCCAAATGTCGATAAGTATAGACTTGGTAGTGAAATAATCAATAATAAAATTTCTAAATTAAAAATCGAAGTTTTTCGACGCATATGATTATTGTTTCCACTATACGGAATCAAATTCCATTTACCTTTTCAAACAAAAATGTGTAAGATTAATAATAGCTGATTGGAAATTCTCTTGCTGCGATCTTACGGGAACTTTTCTGAACAGTAACCCCTTGTGATTACTGTATGTTACCGTAATCCCGCAGGGCAAACACTTTTACCGCAAAAATAGCAAGCGCTAGGTGCGTTCTACTCAAATTTCCGGGCAAGAACGGGAGGGGGGGGGGATGAGTGTAGGGATGAGTATAAAGATTTTTTTTTGCAGATTTTATGGAGATATGGAAAAAATAAGTTACTTTTCCGTCACCACACAATTTTAGATTACGGTAGCAAACAGTGCTGCAGAACGCTTAGGTGACGGTAGAATACTGTAACTGAAAATAGCCTTTCTTTTCATCCAATCACGATATTGAGTTCATATAGTAATAATTTGTGCCTAGAAAGACTAAGGATATGGGGAAATGAGTTACGAGGGTACTTTATAAGTAAAGAGGTTTTTTTTTTCTTAAAACAAGCTAAAGTCAAAACGGCAAAAATTTTTTGAGAATTTCAATTTAGGGCGAATCAAGCAAATTGAGTTCTCCTAATAAACGATATAACCTTTGATTCAAGTGATTTAGCGGCTGGAAGGCCGGACTTCGTGACCTAATTAAGGCTAGATAATGATCAGAGAGCACTCGCGCGAGAGAGACGCAGTGCGTAGCGGGCGCGAACGGCCTTAATTAGGTCACAAAGCCCCGCCTTCCACCCGCCAAGCCAGTCAAATCAAAGGTTAATTCAGGTAACTTTTAGGCAAATTAATTTACACTTGGCAAACTTATAATTTCAAATTAGAGTATTTATAGATTTGTTCGGATTTTCTTGTTCAACGCTTCGTACTCATGATAAAAAAATCTGCAGCACTTCTCATCTTCACAGATTGTGATTCATATTCACGTTTTTTTTATTTTATTTATTTTCTAGTGAATTTGATAAAAAACTTATCTGCTAGACAGCTTCTTTCAAAAGGTGATATACAAATTTTTTCTTTCTATTTTTCCCCAAAAAAAACTTAGGATGTTCCTCCTAAAAAAAATCCTTTCCTTTTTCGCAAGATCGTATCGAATTACATCTACTCTCAAACAATTTTTTCTTCCTATTTTTTATAGTATAGATTTTCTGGTGAATATTTTGTATATTATATATTTTATATACTTTTTGAATATTTTTTATACCATATAATTTTTAATGAATATTTGGTAATCACGTAGCTCCTTTTTGTGAAAAAATGAAACACAAATTTTTCTTCCTATTTTTTCCCAAAAAAAACTTAGGATGTTTCTCCAAAAAAATCCTTCCTTTTTCGTAGTATACGAGTCGGGCCATGCATGGCACACACGATCGTATCGAATTACATCTACTCTCAAACACTCGGGCATATATCTTGCCCGTATGCAGCAATTACACTACCCGGCTGATGAGAGTAGTCACGTGAATTTTCTCGCATCCAACATAGATCTTATTTTTATGGGACATTTTTTATGGCCAAAGCCATCAGCTAGACCTAGGGGCTGCTTATTCGTTTGCACATCTTATGCTGAACATATCATCTATTAAGGAATTGTCGATGGTGCCAAATCGACCGTCGATTTCACCAACACCATCAATTGGCGCTGGAGCGACACCATTGGAGAAGCACTATCACCAATTGGTGTTCAAGGTGCAAGCCGGTTACTGGAAAGTCCATTCGGCTAGGTCGTTGTTTGGCGATAAGGTAAGATCCATCAATCATCCTTTTTTGTTTATTTTTGTAATTTTTTTTTACAAAAATTTGAGGCACAAAACGGCCGTTTTGCACTCAAAAACGGGAAGCGGCCCTTTTGCGCCCCTTGTATAGCGCAATCACTACCGTAATCTGGCAGCTCCTAGGGGATGTTCGGATGTGTGTGCCGGAGCGACGTGCAATGTTCATTATTCGTATTTCATATTTTTTAAAATTATTTTTTGTCTACAAATCAAAGTCAGAACACGATGCGGCCCTTTTGCACCCCTTATGCTATAATTCCAGAAGGAGTAGGGAAAAAGCGTATTTTTTGAGTGTGAGGAAGAAAATTTCCTTTGATTCCAAACTGGCTTGGCTGCTGGAAGGCGGGACTTCGTGACCTTATTAAGGCTAAGTAATGATCAGAGAGCACACGCGCGGGAGAGACCAGACTGCGTAGCGGGCGCGAGCGGCCTTGAATAAGTCACAAAGCCCCGCCTTCCAGCCGCCAAGCCAGTTGAATTAAAGAGTAATTATTTGGCTATAAGATGCTTGTCTCCATCCATCTATTGCAATTCAAATGTGAATTTTCAGCCTCCAATGTTTTTTTTTTCTGGAAAATGAGTGTGAATGAAGAAACCTTCAGTACAAGTCCAAAATTTTATTATTACTATTTTTTGTTTCCTGCCTTCAACCACATGCTACGCCATAAAAGTACGCTATCGCTCAGCGCTCAGGGTGCAGAATAATCCAATTTTTGTGCCCAGGTGTTCTCCAGACAATAAACATTCGCTTGACTGACTCACCGGACCCGTTTCCTGGGAAACAAACAAAACTCAGCTTGCAGAAATTAGATCTGAGGCAGTGTCAATCAACAGCTGCTGACGTAAGAGGAGGGAAAGGAAAAGTTTGGGAAAAAGATGGATACTTAGAAACCAAATGTGTTTTGTTTACAAAAGACAAGGAACGACTGAAGCGGATAACTTGCAATTGCATGCTAAAAGATCAGTTTCTTATTCGTTGAGCAAATATTTCTAGCCCATTTATCCCAATAAAGTATGCTACCGTAATCCTGTAAATTCTGTTATCGAAGCTGAATGTACGATTGATCGAATGCAAAGCTTTTACCTCTTTACCACTACGTGCTAAAAAAGACTCACCGCTCGATACGCGCTGGATTTACTCGCTACAGTATGCTACCGTAATCGCGTAAATTAGCTCCGCGCGAGACGTTGAAAAGCTGTGAAGTCAGCATATTGAGGGCACACGGCACATTTGATTCACTTGATTCACTTGGTCCGCTTGATCCATTATCCACTTCCTATTGGTCGAACCAGTGAACTGACCAACAGCGAAGTGGATGAAGTGGATCAAGTAGACATCCGTTTTGCTATGGGCAGGTTCACTGTTTTGACCAATAGGAAGTGGATCAAGTGGATCAAGTATGGAGCGTACCAAAGATTGCGCGGGTTAGATTGTATCATACTGTAGTCGTGGGAGAAAATGGTCCTCAACGCTTTATAGCAAGAGCAAAATGACTTTATCATAGTGTAAAGCTGCACCGTATTTTAGTGCGCCTACCCCGTACTTGCGTAAGTTTGCGGTAGGATACGGAAAGAGTGGAAAGGGTCCAAGCGTCTTCAACGACTGCAAAAAAATAATAGGGTTTGGTTCAGCTTTAGAAAAGAAGCACGTTGATCAAATCTTGCCGTTTTTCTCCTTATTTTGAATTTTTTTCCCCTTTAAGAAGTTGACATTCGTCCGATTATGTCTTTTTTAGGAAGCATCAGTGATGGTGTTCGAACGAAAAAACAATGTAAAAGCTCCACCTAGGATTGGTCGAATGAATAAATTTGCGCTTGTCGACCTGATCAAGTAAGTACAGTATGTTCTTGGCCCGTGGCCAAAAAATTTTTGCTATTTTCAGATATGAGATAAGTCAGTTATCAGCTTTGGCACATCCTCGAATTCTGCATGTCCAGCATGCCCTAGAGGATTCAAAGTAAGTTCGCACTAATTTACTTCTACGTAATGGAGTTAATCCTCCTCGATCAAAGATCACAGCTAAAGCTATTGTGAGATGAACGCATATCGCATTTAGCGCGAAAATCACTACTTGCGGTAATACTCCTTATCCATTAATCACCTCACCCATCGCTGTTAAAGAGCTCACTTCCTGTTGATTACGAGGATCTTTGATCATTGAGCTTTGCAGAGACTTCCTCGCTTTTGCTAGTGAGTCCGTATGTGGCTCGCTCGACACCATTGTCATAGAAGAGGGAGTGGAAAGGTTGGAGATGAAATTGGGAGTGTTACAGGTTGGTTGTGTACGAGTTTCAACATCAGTTATGTGAAAAGGTGTCTGAAAATATATGAGGGTCCTGAAATCAAATCGGAACCATATTTTCTTTTTTACAAGGCTTAGGACATCGGCGACTATATTTTTTTTGTAATTTGAACATTTTTGTCAAGTGATAATCTCTTCAGTAAATTTATCTCAAGCGCTATCACGAAAATAAACCTCAGACGGCAAAGGAACGAATTCCGTGGGCGTTGCTTTCGCGGACTGCTGGTCCTCACACGACATGCTATAGCATGTGCGAAAGACCAGCGGTCCGCAGAGGGGCCGCTGGTAGGCAGAGTTTGTCCCTCTACCCACCTCGAACTAATTAGTAAAAAAAACGTGTTCATAATGAAAAGAAACTAGAGCATTGTGTTGTTAGGGAAATGTACTTTTTGCACAACCGCCTTGCTCTATCCCACATAGAACAGCGCGTTACGGGACCCACGCCGGCATCACACAATCATTGGACGAGTTGCTGGAATAGCTCTCTGCGTCTCTGTCATCCTTACTAAAGATATGTGCGCTTACTTACAGTCTCTATGCACTCCAACACTTCATAAGCTCTGATAATGTTGAAGACGTAGAGAGCTACCGAGCAACTCGTCCGCTTAACCTGGGTCGTTAGGTGTATCTCGCACAGAACCGCTATCTGACTGTAATGTACGGTACGAAAAAGCCTACACCTTGTGCTGCTGGTACTATTTGTACTACTATGCCGGGAGTTTGTTTATGAAATGAAGGAATAGTTCAGAAATGGGCGGAGTTATGGGTGGAGCCAATTGCAGCTGTGCTTGACAGAGTTGCAGATTTTTTGTTATCAAAACTATTCAGCTAAACCACAATTGTGTCGCATATTCAAAAAAAATTATAAAACTGTCGTAGATTTTACTTGTTAATCCTCGCTTTCTAGATTATTGATGGTCTTTCTTATCTCCACAATTCGGCAAAAATTCTTCACGGTAATCTTACCCCTGCTTCAATTTTCGTTACCACAAGTAGACTTTGGAAAATTGCCGGATTCTCATTTGCTGTTGCGGCTAGGGAACCAGTAAGTTACTTAACCACCATTTACCTAAAACATCCCAAAAACTGCAGGATTGCTACCCATGTTTTCCATGGACCAAGAAACTACCTCCGGTTCTGCAGCCAGATTTGGATTTTTTGGCTCCAGAATATTTAGCACCAAATCAGCAAACGGTCTCTTCTGCTGCAGACGTATTTTCATTAGGAGTGCTGATTTGTTGGATTTATGCAGGTAAAATAAATTTATTTCTCAAAATACTGGTTACAGGTAAACTCACATTCTAGGTGGTAAACGTCTCATAGATGCGAAGAACAACCTGGAAACTCATGCCATCATCTGTGGGCAGGTGGGGGTTCAGTTACCCAAGTTAACCCTACCTTACCTCTTACCGGGACTATTTTGGATTACTTACAGTTGAATGAAGCCCTTAACTGCATATCTGATGAACTTGGTGCTAACCTGCGCGAGTCTATGGGTAAAGTTCTAAGTCTTGACGTAGAAATTCGACCTACTGTCCAACTTCTGTCCTTGGTAAGTGACACTACCTTACCCACGAAGCATTCACCGTATCCCAAACCATTTCAGATCAAGCACTTTGACGATCCAGCACTGTCAGCCCTCCGACAACTCGATGACATCTCACAAGTATTCGATCCATCACAAAAAGCGCATTTCTTATCACAGACATTATTGTCGGCTTTGCCTGTGATACCTGAGGTAGCTTTTTTCCCGACTTGATGTTACCCAAGTGCAACAAATTGTGTGAACGCTTTCCTAGTTGGAAACCTCACAGAAAAGTCAGAGAGATTTTGACACTTAAACGACGTATACACTTTTGTGTTTAAATAAAAGTGATTTGAAACCGGAAAATTTTGAAAGTTTCTGCTGAGTATAGAAAAAAGCAACTGCATTTTTTTTTTGACTTTCTGCGAAATATATTAAGAAAATTCTCACTTTGAAGCTTCAGGAGGGAATCGACAAAGTTGAAGAAACATTTTGGTTTTCATTACCATCGATCAGTTGGAAAACTGGTCCAAAAATTGATGTAAAACGCAAAAATCTTTGAAAAATTTGATTTATCCAGAATGAGAAGAGTTACTTTTCACATCAATAATATAGTCTAATTTTGCTTCCTATAATTATATTTTATTTGTTACAAAATTTATTCTTGGCATCAAATTATGGATCCACGTAACTTTGCAGAATCTCTGGTTTTCGCGGGTCCTGCCACGATTTAACGAACAACTCTTCGATTCGCATGAACTGTTCTCAGCGCTGGCCAAGCCACTCTTCTTCATGTTGGATCACTGCGAGAGCCATAACATCCATAAGCTGAAGGTGTGGATGAGGAAGCTGCTGGACCACACAACGCAAAAATCGGTGGGTTCAATGATTTTATGTAAAAATGTTTTTTTTTTTCTGGTTCATGCGTTCAAATGAACTAAAAGTAATGCTAATAACAACGCAGCAAAATTACGTCAAAGGTTGCATGTTTCCTTTCACCGAGTTGCAGCAATGACATATTCAAGGTCCAGCACGAAAATGACAGTCCGACCTTTAAAAACAAATTCTCTTATTAGATTTCCGTTTCATGCTCCTCCCTCGAGGTACTACGACTTGCTTGATAGCCTAGAAAGTTCTGTTTTGAGTAACGTCCCAAGCGGGTGAAAAAAACCAGAGCTCCTTTTCTTGTACACTGTTCGATTAGAGCTCGTTTTATTCTCAGTGCCCTTATATCACACTCTTTCTTTTTCAATGGAAAAGGACTTCACCTTCATTTTTCTCTTTGTGCGGGATTAGCATCAGGTAGGAGCCATAACCTGTAAGCTGATTTGGAACTGGTTATACAAGTGAGGCGACTAAATGACGAGCATTTGACATTTGGTGTCGCGTAAGCAAAAATTACGCTTATGATGGAAAATGCGATAAAGTATACTTTTTCGTGATTTGGGCAGAAAAGTCTCCTTTGTCAATACACAATTAAAAGCGCTATCACATCTTCCTAATTGTTTTTGCTTGCACTACAGAAAATGTCATTGCCCTTGATTTAGTGCGCCACATGTGCGGATTCTGTATCGGTTTAGGGAAAAGTATGTCCCCGCATTATTTCTACAGTTCTAGACTTATGTTTATTTGTCAAGACGATGCTGAAAATTTCCAACAAACATTTCGTGGCCTTGAATCCAAGCAAAAACTGCACTTTGACCATCTACATGCGTGACACCATCTAACAAAGCATTTTCGAGCTCCAACAATACACACACTGAAATGAGCTACGCCTTCTATCCAGCGTTCTATAGCTACCCTTTGATTCAACTGACTTGGCGGCTGGAAGGCGGGGCTTCGTGACCTAATTAAGGCTAGGTAGTAATCATCAGAGAACGTGCGCGGGAGAGACGCAGACTGCGTTGCGGGCGCGAGTGGCCTTAAGTAGGTCACAAAGCTCCGCCCTCCTCCCGCCAAGCCACTTGAATCAAAGGTTATTCACTATTGATTAGCTTTGACACGGTCTTCATCGTCAGCCTTAACGCCATAGAGTTGTTCTTTTGACGACTCTCAAGGCAAGGCCCAAGCAACAACTCATACTAATCATTTGTGGCCGGGGAATTCGACACTAAATCGCCCAGTACCGTACCCCAAACCGTCCGCTCGTAAGAAGTACGGTACTGGGCGAGAGGTTAGACCAGATTTTCTTGGTCATTTTTTTTTATTCACTTGGCTTGCTGGGAAGGTGGGGTCGTGACCTAATTAAGGCTAGGTAGTAATCATCAGAGAACGTGCGCGGGAGAGACGCAGACTGCGTTGCGGGCGCGAGCGGCCTTAATTAGGTCACAAAGCCCCGCCATTTAGCAGCCAAGCCAGTTGAATCAAAGGTTATATGACCTCCAACTTATATAATGGCTTATTTCAGCCCTCCCGATCAATTCGCAGATAAAAAGCGACCTACTCATGCCCTTGCCTAAACATTGCCCTGTTTTTCTTAATGCCAATGAAAAATCTCTTGTCATCTTCCCCCTCCCTCTCATCTATCTTCCCCTAAAATAGGGCAACCCTACCTAAGAAGGCAAGTTGTGATATCTCACTAGTAGACATAGCGTATATTATTATATTATTGGACTGAGTACAATCTGTTAGTGTCTCGTTACGTCTGCTGTTGTCTTCACACACACTCGAATGACGTGATTCGAGCGCGGAATTCACCTGTTGACACTCTGGGGTTTCTATCTACCCCCGCATTAATCTGGTACGGAAAATAAGGTTGCACTAGCCAATAAGTCATTTCTGATTCAATTTTTTGTCCATGCATTTCACTGGTAAAGTAATCAATATTCATTCAAGGTAGTACTAGTTGTAGGTATCATTTTTTTCGTTGGTTTAGTTTTGACTGCACATCCTAAAATATTAATATCGCACCAAGATTTTTGAAAATATGTAATTTTCTCTACTCTAAGCTAACTATTGATTCAATATAATTTTAAACGAAAATATGCCCTTTCAATGCTGCGTACTAAATAGTCATAGTTGCCGCGTCGCGAATTTCCAAGTTAAGCCATCAAAAATTCTAAAAAAAAGTCCGAGAAAGTCTGATTTGGTCTTATTCATAGTCATTTGACTTTTTCTTTCTCAGTAAGAAGAATTTCGCTTTAATACCTCCATAAATTGTCATGAATTTTACATTTTATGATTTTTATCCACTCTTCAATAATTTATCCTCTTCATTTGATCATTTAGTCCTCATACTATTGTTTATTAGTTCAATCGTTCATTCATTCCTTCACTCGAACATCTATTCATTTATTCATGCACTTGTTTACCTATCAATTGATTTATTCATTCTTATTTATTCATTTATCTATTTATTTATTTCTTACACGAAAAGTGTGCAAAAAATTCACAAACAAAACTCACAAAACAACTTTCAAAGCGAAAAACAACGTCAACACGGGAAATACATAAATCTCTTAAGTTTATTCTTGTTCCTAGGCTCGTCTTCCGCCGGGGTATAAGGCCGCTCTCTTTTTTTTTAGAATTCTTACAAAATTCTTACAATTATTCATTTATTCGTTCATTCATTTACTTATTCTTCGTTCATATAATGCTCAGTTTGGACAGGATAACTTGCACAAAGCGTCCGAATTTTGCCCTATAGAACCTCAACAGAAACTTTTTCCAATTTCTATTAAACTCTTCCATGAACTTACTCTCGAACAGTAAATATCCCCCACATTTCCATGAATTTATTTAATGAAATGCCTCAGTCCTCGCCACGACCATTAAATTCACTCGCGCTCTATTTCCGCGTAGTAATAGCATTTCGGTTCAAAATGACCTTTCTAAACAAAAATTAGCTTGGTCAACTCAATTGATAAAAGACTAAGCGTTACCTAGGGTTTTTATAATTGTTGATGATTTGTGATTACTCTTTTCTCTTAAAGGACAAAATGTACTGTATGTACTAACAGGGGTTTATTATCTCGAATTGTTAACAGAAAATTAAGGTGGAAGCACAAATTTGCACAAATATTGTTTAGCTAATAGTTTTGTGGCGCTAATGACTTTCCTAGAAAGACATTAATGTTTAGCTTTTCTGCAGCTTCATGGCTTTTCTATAGAAGAGTGATATTCTCGTTTAAGTTTATGGGAAAGGAGAGAGAAATCGTTTTCATCTTCTTAAAAAAGGGGCGTGGTGCGTACCATGTCTTCGGAGAATTTTTGTATGCTTCTCAGAGCAATCGTAACCTCGTAACCTCGTAAGGCCTCATTTATAAAATGATTTTTCATAGAGTTAATTTGTTTCTCTCAGAATTTTTATTACTAGACCATTATGGCAGACAAAAATTACCTCCTTAATTAGTAGTAGACTATATGCAATTTTTAATGATTTTTGAAATGTGTAAGGGAGGTCCCATCTTGGTATCTTGGTGTTTACTAATAGAAATTTTCTATTTAAGATTGCTATAAACTCGCAAAGTTCTCCTCAGAAGCCTGATTCAATGAAGCGAAGCTGCTTGACTTGACCAGCCATTACGCCTGAAATGCGCAATCTCCGCAATTTCTCTACTTTCACTCTACTAAAGTCATCAATCAAAGTTCAAGAGCGCCCCTTATATGGTCTATATCTAGAAAACTACCACTTTTGATCGAAGCGTATTATCAAAAGGGGTCTTTATTCTGTCCTCTAGATAGCACTGAATGCGAAAATTCATTCAAATTTCAAAACTCATTTTTGGAATTTTTGAATCATTATTGTCAGAGCTTCGGTCAAGTTTACATAAAACTACTTGGATACCCGTATTTTCCTTTAGAAATTGTGATTTTGACTTATGGTACCTAGTGGCGTATCGACCGGGAGGAGGGCATCGCGAAACGAGTGCAAGTGACTTGTGCACACTCGTGAATAATTAAAATAATATTTTAAAAATTTTTTGAAGTTTGAGTTATCGTTTGAACAAATTCGGAAGCGTTTAGAGACGCATGAAAATCTCCGGAAACATACCCATAATTTTTTCATCCTCATTAGAAGAATATTCGCTCTTCCCCCCCCCCCCCCCCCCACGAGCGATATCCTGGATACGCCATTGTGGCTGCAGCAGATAGTACAACGCTGAACACTAGAATTTTTTTATTCTCCCCGAAAAGTCAAATTTTCTCAAGAACACATTTTTTTCTGCAAAGTATGGAAAGCTGTTTGTTTATTTCCATGAAGCTGGCCAAAATTTCGAAAGTCTGACCTCAAATAATCAAAACCTCGTGAAATTAATTTCGGTTAAAATAAATTTTCTCTAGGAATTTTGCATCTGTTTGCAGAGCGAAAAGTTCAAACATCCCTAAATAAGCCCCTCATTTTAAGAAGAAATTCATTATTCCCCCCCCCCCCTCCCCTCTCCAGAGTGACCAGAAACCTTGTTATTTCTCCCGCACTATCTCAGATTTTGGAATAAAGTCCACATTTCTATAAGACATTCTGATGAAAAGGCATTTACACCTGCTTCCATAATAATTGATTACAAACAACATACTGCCCGATGACGTCTGCAGGGTCTGTCAGCAAATAACAACCAGTGTAATTACGTATACGTACATACAGTCAAAATGTAACTACATTTGCAATGGCGAACGTTGACGTACATGGTAACAGATGTGTTGTTGTTTTCTCAGTACCGCTTTTGTTTCAAGCATGAGTTACTTCCTTTTTAGATTCATATGCTGTTTTTGGACAGCATTGTATAAGGCTCGCCAAGAAATTCTGTTTCTTTTTTCGATGTTGAAAAAATTCAGACGCTTCTTATAGATCAAAGACCGCTCAAACTCCCGGCCTGTGATTATGGAATTAGCCTACATGAGTAGTAAATTTGCGCATGACTTCTTTTCACTTATAT